CCATTCATTCTACTGTCTCTCCTATGCCCATTTCCCCTCTTCCCCTCACGCTCCTTTGTCTAAACCAATGAACTTCTGTTCTCCCCTCTCGCACCCTTATTAGCATCTGCATACCAGAGAGAACATTCAGCCTTCGGTTTTAGGGGATTGGCTTATTTCACTTAGCATGATAGTTTCCAGTTCCATCCATTTACTGGCAAATGCCATAATTTCATTCTTCTTTATGGCTGAGTAACATTCCATTGGTGTGTGTGTGTGTGTGTGTGTGTGTGTGTGTGTAAAATTTTCTTTATCTATTCACCTGTTGAATGGCACCTAGTTTGGTTCCATAGTTTAACTATTGTGAATTGAGCTGCTAAGAACATTGACGTGGCCACATCCCTATAATATGTTGATTTTAAGTCCTGAGGAGTGGGATAGCTGGTTCAAATGGTGGTTCCATTCCAAGTTTCCTGAGGAATATCCATACTGCTTTCCAGAGAGATTACACCAATTTGCAGTCCTACCAGCAATATATGAGTGTACCTTTGCCTTTCTGAAAATCTCAGTGTAGTTTTAATTTGCATTTCTCTAATTGCTAGAGATGTTAAATATTTTTTTCATCTATTGGTTGACCGATCATATTTCTTCTTCTGTGGAGTGCCTGTTCAGTTCCTTTGCACATTTATTGATTGTGTTATTTGTCTTTTTGGTGTTAAGTTTTTTGAATTCTTTGTATATCCCGGAGATGAATGCTCCTTGTGAGCTGCAGGTGGCAAAGATTTGCTCCCATTCTGTAGGCTCTCTTCATGTCCTTGATTGCTTCCTTTGCTGTGAGAAAGATTTTTAGTTGATACCATTCCACTTACAGATTCTTGATTTTACTTCTTGCGCTTTAGAGTCTTGTTGAGGAATGTGGTTCCTAAGCCGACATCATGTAAATTAGGGCCTACTTTTTCTTCTAGGAGGTGCAGGGTCTCTGGTTTAATTCCCAGGTCCTTGATCCACTTTGAGTTGAGTTTGTGCAGGGTGAGAGATAGGGGTCTAATTTCCTTTGGTTACATATGGATTTCCAGTTTTCCCAGCACCATGTGTTGAAGAGGCTATCTTTTCTCCAATGTATGTTTATGGTGCTTTTGTCTAGAAGGAGATAACTGTATTTACGTGGGTTTGCCTCTGTGTCTTCTATTCTGTACCATTGGTCTATGTGTCTGTTTTGGTGCCAATTCCATGTCATTCTTGTCACTGTAGCTCTGTAGTACAGTCAAGGTCTGGTATAGTGATGCCTTCTGTGTCACTTTTATGGCTAAGGATTGCTTTGGCTATTCAGGGAGGGCCTCTTATTTTTCCAAATTAATTTCGTGACTGCTTTTTCTATTTCCATGAAGAGCATCATTGGAATTTCAATAGGAATCGCATCAAATCCTTACAGTGATTTTGGTTGCATGGCCACTTTGATAATATTAACTCTGCCCGTCTAAGAACACGGAGGTCTTTCCATCTTCTAAGGTCCTCTTCAATTTCTTTCTTTAGTTGAACCAGCTGTTGTCCAGGAACACAAGAGGGGAGGGTCTAGGTGATGTTCCAGCTTAGCAGGAATTCGTATTTCAGTGGTGTGTGTGTGTGTACATGTAGGTGTGTGAGACAGAGGGAGAGACTTCTTTTAGATTCTGCCTCTTTGGAAAAACAGACCAGCATCTGGGCGGCGGCTCATGGTGGCAGCTCTTCCTCACCAGCTCACGGCTTCCTACCTGTGCGGCCTTCTTAGGTCATTCCCTCAATCAGCTCCGCGACGGCGCTTCTTCCCTCTGCCAAATGGGGTCCAGACGTGGCTGCAGGCAGACGGTGTGCTCGTTCTACGTGTTTCCAACCAGAGACCCCGGGCTGTCCCTCAGGGTGGCCCCTGGCGTCCCAGCGACTTGTCTGCTGTGCCATCTCAGCCTTCCCACACGCCCATCCGCTTCCCACTGCCCTTGCCAGCCCTTTCACCAGCACTGGATTGGCAACTGGTTTCCTGGTTTCCTCGAGATGAGGCTCATGCCCTTCTTTCTCATTTCTTCATTTTCTTGAGTGATTCGAGGGGGAATCGGCAGAAAGGGTCTTACGATGGCTTTTTGGTCTGGGTAGCTTCATGCACTCTGCAGTGCACGGCAGTAATTCAAGAAGAGCAGCCAGATCCACAGTTCTGTGTGCCTCTCTATTCTCCCACCACTCACCAACTCACTTTTGACCTTATAGATAACCAGCCCTGGGTCTGGTGCAGTGGCTGCATTCCTCACCCTCTCTATTGGATTCTGCCAAATACAAGAAATAAGATACATGGGGCTGGGCTAGGGCTCAGCAATAGAGCGCTTGCCTCGCATGTGCAAGGCCCTTCCTGGGTTCAATCCTCAGCATCACATAAAAATAAATAAATGAAATAAAGGTATTGTGTCCAACTTAAAAATGAATATTAAAAACAAAGATATTAGCAGCTCCTGAAAAAACAAACAAAAGAGATTGTCCTAATGGAATTTGGTCTAATGAAGGGAAAGTGAAAAAGGATCCATTGCCTGACTCTAAGAAATCTGTTAAAATGGTGCCTGAACTATCATAGCTCCGGTAGTAGGAGGTGGTTCTCAGTTATTCCCCTACAATAGACCCCTAATTCGTTACATATTTTATGGACAGAATTCAGTGTGGAAGGATGAAAATAGCTAGGATTCCTAGATCTGGATTTAAATTCAAGTTCTACCATCCTTGGCTATGTAATCTTTAATGAATGACTGCATTGATTCTTCGTCTTTTAAATGCAAAACAAGGACATTATGTGTATATGTGCATGTGCCTGTCACAACTACACACACATACACACAGTTATTAGGATTAAGAGAAAAAAATGTCGGTACTTTAGAGAATGTCATTTCAATGAGGGCTGAATTTGGGAGTGTGTGTCGGGGGAGCCTCTCAATTCACTGCTGTGGTCCCAGATCATGAGAATAGGACTTGACATGAATAAGCCCTCCATGAAAAACAAACAGTTGAATGAGCATGCAGAATTCCTACGTGTGACGCTCAGCCAATTCAACCACAATGTCTTCAGCATGGCTTCCAGAGCTTCACAGACTCTAATGTGTCCCCAGCTGTCCCCTTGCCAGCACAGAATGGAATAATCAATGCCACTCAGGCTTCACTGGTTTGTCATCTTCAAAGATGCAGAGTTTCAGCCCTGGTCCTGCCTTTGGGTCAATGAACATCTGCCTCTGAAGGGCCACGGCTACTTATGGGACAGGTGCCAAGACAGGGAGCAGCCGGGGCCCAGGATTTGCTCAAGTTGGTTTGTGGGACCACTGTTTGACCTTGGGTACCCTTTGGTTCAGTGACAATTAGGGTAGAACAATGGATGCCACCCCAGGAAGTAGTTCCTAAGTACACTGTGTGCTTGGAAGGGAGTTGCGTGCACAGGAGAAGCCGCACTCCCTGTTTTTTCAATAAGCGCTGATACAAAAGAATAAACAATATGTCCTCACATCAGTCTATGTTTTCTCCCATTAAAAGTTAATGACTTTTTTTTTTATCATCGACTAGAACATCTGGTGTGTCATGGCTCTGACTTTTGAGGACAACGCAAGCATTGTATTCAGTTCCAGATTTTTCTAAGTCCAAGAGTTTGAACCCATGAAAAATTGCTTTTAAGACAAGAATGAACCCAAAATGACTTCGAGCCTCAAATCCAAATATTCACCATTTCTGGACTCAACAAGAGTCAAATAGCTGCATGGAACTCAAGTGCCTCACAGATTGGGGCTATGTACAATTGAAATATTATGGTCATTCAATATTTATGAGGCCGGTTGCCGAGAATAGTGTTAATCACGAAGAACGTGGCAATGCTAACCACCCCCATCCTCTGCGCTGTGGAACAGCACAACGGAGGCCTGAAGGCCTGGGTTCTGATCCCACCTCCTCTCCCTCTCTCCCTGTCACTGTAGGATCATCAGAAAATCATCTTTCTGAGCTGCAACTTCCCCATCTGTAAATAAAAAAAAATGGAGATAAGAAGACCATTATGCCAAGGTTCCTTTCCTGCCAAGATTGTGGTGAGGTTTAAATAAAATGACGAATGTCAAAGTGGCAGACACAGCAAGCGTTCAGCTCGGTACGGTTTTGTCTCTCCTCCCTTCTCCTGGGAAGAAAATTAACACGTGCTTCTCTGGAAAGCCATGCATCCCTCGTTCCTTACCACCCCTCCCTGGCAGCCCAGGGAAGAAGATCGTTAATTAGTCCATGTTGTGAGACACTCAGATGATAAGAGTACTGCGTGTGCAACGGCACCGTGCACCTCACGATGCAGGAGAAGTTGGCGGCGGCTTCAAAGGGCTCCTGACCATGGAAGGTCGTCCTAGGAGAGGGGCCCTGTCACTCTGAGTGGGGGTCTTTGGGGAAGTAGCATTTCTGGAAAGACAGTAGCACAGCTAGTTCTCTGATACCCATGGCCACAGAAACCAGTGAAAGGAGCCCCGGGGTCATCTAATCCACAGATGACCCTGGATTCCCTTTAGCAACAATTTCACCAACAAGAACACACCTGATCCATTTTTGTCTCGGAGCATCTCCTTGCCCTTGGGTAAGTCTTGGGACACAGAAATGTAAGGTCAATTTCACCAAGATCGAAGCAGAGCTCCTGTCTCCAGCCAGGGTTCATAACCCCCCCACCCCGGGCGAGGGGTACCATGTTCTGTGGAGGAGGAGTTGGGAGTTGGGGCTCTCTGGGCGGGACCCATCTCCAGGGCTCGGTTCCTCTCTTCTCCTGGGCACACTGAAAAGTCCCTTGCACTTCCAGTAAAACATCACCCATTGCTGTAAATCAACATCGTTAATAATGAATTTATTGTGGTTTTTTTTGTGGTCTTTATTCTTTCTTTACTTTGTGAAAAACTTTTATTAAACAAAGATCCGTAAAAGCATGAGAACTTAATCTTAAATTTTAGCATTGTGCAAAGTTTAGTGCAATTCTAATATAAATAATTTAAGGAATACCATGACCTTTTAAGAATTTTATTTCTTATTTTTTTAGGAATTGTAAATTTTTAATTTCCAAATATATTACCCAAACTTGAGAAATATTAGATTATGGGAAGGAGAAGGGACAGGAGAAGGCTTGGTAATCTACAGAGGGGTCATTATTCCTTGAATAATCAAGACTTGGCTGAATGCTAATTCCTGTGTTCTGTAATTCTGCTTCAATAAAAGAAATCTCCATGTATTACTCCAGTATTTCATTTTTGCCTCTGAATTATGTTCCTATCCACAAATCCCAGCCAAAGGCCTGTTGAATAATTGTCCCCACATGTAAAATTTTCCTGGTGATGTTTTCCTTGCCTTGGTCCTCTGAAATATAGAAATGTGTTCCTAATTATTCGCAGAACCACCTGGTAACTGCACTGTATCATCTCAATAATATGACTGACTCACGGAGCACAGTTTGGTGGGGCTCAGTTGTGTTTGACACCATCCAAGAAAAATTGGTGACTTCAGTGACCCTCCATTGCACAGGCTCACCTATAATCAAGGTGGCCATATTTTGGAAGCCAACAACCACAACTGGTGACCTGACAATTGGAATTGTTGAAATTGGAAATTGGAATTATTCTGGAAAGTCCAGGACATACAGATTCCTGCGGCACATGTCACAGAAGTTATCCAGGCTGGTGCCTTCACTTTCTTAATTTTGAAACTCAAAGCAACTGACTCTTAGCTCCACTGTCCTTACAGCTGCACATTTCGGGGAGGAAAAAGAATCCATCACGTCCCTGAATTCAGTGAATGTGAGAGAGGTGAGTGCAGAAATCTACCGGCTCTTCTGGGAAACTTTGTCCTGGCTTTGCAGGAAAATCAGAGACATACTTTTGTGTATAATAAGCCTCTTACAAGACCGGGCCTTTCTTGAAGCTTAGCAGGGTTGGCCCACTGATGGTAGACCAGCAACCCGAGGAAATGCTCATGCAGCCGGCTCAATTTTTGTTCTGTGTTAAATTGTATCATGTTAGTCTTGGGCCCCAAGTTTATGAGCCTATGGCCAAATTCCAGAGGTAGCTCTCCTATTCGTTGACATCTTTCCTATTTGTCTGTCTTTCCTTCTCCTCCTCCTCTTCTCCTCTCCTCCTTCTTCTTCCTCTCTTGTTAATTTTTGAAAGTCAGAATGTCCTGGAGCGGAAGACGAGATAAAATGGAGAGAGAACGGGGTGTGTGTTTGATGAACAAAGAGTGGAAGGATTTCCTAGCAGCGCCATCCAGGCCGACCCAGGACTGAACACTGTGTTGCAGAAAAGTCCTGTTAAATCAATGCACGGAGGACTTAGGCACAGGAAGGAGGCGTCAAAGAGAAAGAGGAAGGACCACCAAGATCCTGTGCTGTAGGACATGTTTTGATGCGGGCAGTGTAGACAGGGCTGCTCCTCTGTGAGAACTCAGGAGACGTGATTGATGGCACCCACACCCAGGACATGACAGGAGAACGCGGCCAGGCCTCACCTTGACATCCATCAGGACCGCCAGGAGCAGGAGCCCGGCAGAGGCAGCAGCTGGAGGAGGTGGGCGGGGGAGCCCAGGCGGCCCTCCAGAAACACCAGGCTGCTCTCGGCCTATTAAGGACGGCGTTGGCAAGAGAAAGGCAACAGGGAATAAGCCAGGGAAGAAAGCTTTCTCCAACATGTTCTAACCTAGTTTTCTAAAAGCCAGAGACTCCAACAAGAGCAACAAAGAAAACTGCAGAAATCCTAGTGCGTTTTTTTCTTTTTTTTGAGTGTCCTTTCTGAAGCATGAGGGGAAATGCCAAATGAACCTGCCTGTGATTTCTATATCCCAGCCAAGCCCCCTGCATGCAGGACCTTCTCAAGGTCCCTTCGTCCTTGCAGGGCCCTGTCATGTGCACGCGATGCTCTATCAGGCACTTTGAAGAACACAGGGCAGGTCGTGTCTAAAACGGGCAGTTGGGCTGCAGTGGAAGGACTTAGTTATGTATTTGTCCATTTTCTGTTGCTATTTCAAAATGTCTGAGGCTGGATACTTTATAGAGAAAAGAGGTTTACGTAGCTCACCGTTCTGGAGGCTGAAAGCCCAAGATTGAGCAGCCCCATCTGTCCAGCTGCCAATCCGGATGGCATCACAATGGTGGGAGCACATGTGGAGGAGGTGACAGGGATTCAGGGAGAGTCTTGCTCTTTTAATAACTAACTCTTGCAGAAACTAATCAGGATCTTGCGAGAACTCCATTAATCTCTCTCTCAAGAGTGACTCCCCAAAGACCTAACTGCCTCCCACTAGGCCCCGCCTTAAAAAGTTCCCACCACTTTCCCAAACCACCACACTGACCAAGCTTCCAGCACCCTGGGGGACCCGGTGAAGACACACCCAGATCAGAACCGTTTTAAACCTCGGGTCACCTCTGGTCAGGTGGCATCAGCTCTTGGCCTCTCCGAGGCCTCCTCTCCTCCCCTCCCAGAGCAGTGGTGAGAAGGACACGAGGTGACCTCGAGGAGCACGTGGAACACAGAACAGGACTCAGGACGTGTCCGTGGAGCTCAGTGATCTTCAACCAGACCCAGGAGCTGATTGTGCTCAGAGCAGAGCTCACTCCATAGACAGAGTGAGCAACCCCTGTTCCGTGAATGAATGGGACTACCCTCGTGCCGTGGGTGGGCCTCACCCAATCAGGTGAAAAAGCCCAAAGAGCAACCACAACTCCTGCCTGAGTTTCCAGCCCGCTGGTCTGCCCTACCAACTGCAGACTAGCCAGCCCCTATAACTCTATGAGCCAAATGCTTAAAGTAAACCAATCTTTGTCCCTCTCTCTTTCCATACACACAGACACAGATACACACACACACACACACACACACACACACACACAATTGGTTCTGTTTCTCTAGAGGACTCTGAAACATACATGCATTTAAAACAAATGAATTTCACTGTATATAAATTACACCTGAAAAAATTGTTTTTCAGGATGGAACTACAAGCTGTGTAGTTCCGTTTCGATAAGACTCTAGAACCTGAACACTTGTCTGTGACGACAGAGAGCAGACCTGTGGTTGCCGGAGACAAAGGGGAAATTCCAAAGGGGCGTGGAAACCTGCAGGGTGACGCGTGGCATCTTGGCGATGGATCATAGGTGTTAACATCGGTCAGAGCTCATCGAAGGGTTTGCTTTAAATACGTTCCTCTTACTGTGTATCTACTGCACCTTAATAAAGAAATTTTTAAGGAAAAAGGCGAAAGGACATATGAAGACAGAAATCCAAGCAGAAGAATGTCCAAGGCACAGAGTGGGGGGCGGGGGGAGCAGGGGGCCTGTTTTGGGTCCCCTTCCTCCTTCCCCTACTCGGTGTCTTGAGGCTGCACAAAGGACAGGATGGAGCCCAGGCCCACCTTTGGGGACTCTGGACATCCCCTTCCTCTTCTAGCTCAGGGGAAGATGCCAGCAAGGCTCTGCCCCTGGACACTCAGCGTCCACACGTGATGGGAGATACGGAGGACAACAGCGAGAGTCGAGTGGGCCCCAGTCAGACGCAGGTTGGTAGAGACGGCGCCGGGATGTCCTGCTCCCGGGCACTGGGCAGCCAGGCTTTATATGAAACCTGTTTTGTCCTACAGAATGGAAAACAGGGCATCTGTCCCCTCACGGGCCCAAGCCCAGCTGGGCAGAGAGCCGAGCTTCCAGCACCACCGAGGATGGAACACCAGGGTCAAGGGGACAGAAGGACCTTCCCCTCTTGTTGGGGTGAGCAGGCATTGTGCTGCCCAGGGGGTTCACCAAGCTGCTCCAACGACTGGACCTGAAACCTGGGCTCAGACAGAAGCATTAGCAAGTAGGTTAGCCAAGGCTTGGGAAAAGCACTTCGGTGTGACCCAGGGTGGACAAGGAGGTGACCCAGACCCACAGGAGAAGACCCCGTGGCCTGGAAAAGTGAATGTGGACAACCTGAGCAAGGACCACCCTCCCACCTGCACTCGCCAAGAGAGTCGCGGTGAAGACAAAGCAGGGCTTCCCATCAGAGGCCACCGTGGGGTGTGGCTCCAGCTGTCAGCGCCTCTTCTCCTGTCCACGTGATGCTTGGGGGTTTAAAACCACTCAAGGTGTTTTTGTGGACTTCACAGAACTATTTCAGACGAGAGTCCACGGCCCAGAGTAAACCAGCGAGGGGGGCGGGCATGCTCCTGGGGACAACCTGAGCTGCCTGGACAGGCACGGTCACACGCATTCCTGCACCACAGAGGGCAGCAGCTGACCAAGGCTGCACAGACCAGGACTGCCTGCCTGCGCTCTACCTGGGCATGATATATGTGGGGGGGCTGAATGTTCATCCCCCCATCCTGCCCCACCTGGTTTCCCTGGGTCTCTCTCCTGTCACTCTGGCCGTCCATCCTCTGTACCTGTGTTTCCCTGGCCCACCTGGAGGTGACTGAAAAACCTGGCTGTGGGGGAGGCTGTTGAGTTTGCGTAGAAGAGATGCCAAGAAAGAGGGGATCCGGGAAGGGCAGGCCAGGCCCTCGGGGAATGGTCAAGGACCAGGTGCCCTGGGCCCTGAAAACCGTGGGCTGCTTCTATCTTCATTCACACACAAAAAAAAGACAATAGACTTTGGGTACTTAACATTTTTCACTACAAAAAAAGAAGTCGGTGTGAGGGACTTTCTATACTGAGTCCTTAACACTCCTACCGAGCCTGGGATGGGCTGTCCCCTTCCATACTTTACAAGTGACTCAGCTGAGGCTGACACAGGTTGGGGACATGGCCAAGATCTCAAAGCCAGCCGGTGACACGGCCAGAACCTGACCCTGCCTCTAATTCCCCCGATTTCCCACTTGCACTTTAAAATAATATAAGCAAGATGTTATTTTTTTCAATTTTAAATCTTTTAAAATAAGATGGTTTTCCCTGTGTTAGATTCAAGCTGGGCCTTGGAGGTGAAGGAAGGACAGAGAACCTGGAAATGTTTGGGAAAGACATGGCCAAAATGAGCAAGGGCTGGGGAGAGAAAGGAGAGAAGACTTTTCCCGACCAGGGGACAGAAGTGAAGGGGAGGGCAAAAGGAGACCCTCTACTCTATCTTAATAGAATACTTTTTAAGAAAAAGGCAAAATACATGTATGAAGATGTGAATTTGGTGTCAACATACCTTATATATCATCAGAGAGATGATGAATTACGGAACAGTGGTGTATAAGAATTGTAATGCAGAAGGAAGGAAGGAAGGAAGGAAGGAAGGAAGGGAGGGAGGGAGGGAGGGAGGGAGAGAGAGAGAGAAGGAAGGAAGGAAGGAAGGGAGGGAGGGAGAGAGAGAGAAGGAAGGAAGGAAGGAAGGAAGGAAGGAAGGGAGGGAGGGAGAGAGAGAGAAGGAAGGAAGGAAGGAAGGAAGGAAGGAAGGAAGGGAGGGAGGGAGGGAGGGTTGGTTCACTAGGTGGTGAGGGCCTGGGGGCAGGGGCCTCCTCCTCTTCCCCCAGCTTCTCAGCTGGGAACACAGGACACTCTTCTGGATCTGTCCATCATTTAGTTGAAAAAATAAAAAAAAAGAGAAAAGGTCAAGGAGGCTTCATGAATCGCAACTTCCAAGGAGTGTGCGTGAAGGAACCCAAGGGAAGAGGAGAGGGGCCCAAGACAGAGTGGACTCCATGATGTCAGGGCAAGGAGGAAAGTTCTAGAATGCATTTGAGAAATCTTTCTTTCTTTCTTCTTTGGCTTGTTTTTTGGGGTCTGGAATGGGTGTGGGACACTTGAACACACCACCAAGGAACACTCCCTTCCTCTGGAGAACTCAGATGGGCGCTCAGGGGCCCAGGTTTTGCGAGCAGACCGCACACCTGTAGTCTTGGGGACACCTCTGGGTGGCACTCAGTCTGAGAAGCCTTTGCCAATATCAAAAGGCTAATTCCAAAGTGACTCCGTGCCAAGATGACTCCTCCACCCACCGCAGGTCTCGGGGCACCCGGAGGATTCCAGCGACGTGGCTAAGCCACTGGGAAGATCGCCGGGAGCTTTTCCAATATCGTCTGAGGCTTTAAGGGAGAGCGGACGCAGAGCCGTAATAGATGCTTTCTGATCCTCCTCACACTGCACCTGGCTCTCCTAAGTATTGGTCCTATTACATTTTTAAAAATAGCTCCGAAGTAATTTGTGTGCTGAACTGGCTGTAGGATTAAAAAAAAAGAAAGAAAGAAAGGAGAAAACCCACCTGAATACCTTCTGCTTGTTCCTATCAGCCAGAGACCGGGAACCGCAGCCGCAGTTTCCTCGGAGCTAATTTTCAGCATTAGGATTGATCAGGACCTGAATTCCACCCTAATAAACGATGGAACAGCAGCCACTCCTTCAGCCACTTATTTGGGCGACCTGGGAATTGGCAGACGAGTTAAAAATGTCCATTGGTGACAACACACAGCTGTGGAGGTGCAAAGATCCGAGACTCTAATCAGACCGGGTTATATAAGTAGCACTGCCTCATTATCTCTGCGTGGGGGACAGGGTTCACTGGGCAGCTGGGGCTGCACGGGTGTCGGCAGAATAGCTAATGGGAAGTTGACACACACAGACATCAACCGAGAGGAGAGGAAGTGGGTGACCCTGTGCCCCCTTCCAACTTTGAGGAGGAATGCAGCGCAGCAGCCGCTGTCTGCAACTCTTCCTGCACCAGGCAACACCGATAACCAGTGTGAACATTTTTCTGGATTTCTGAAAATGGCTATGTAACGACATCCAGAACCTTCTATCGGGCATGCACCGTAACGTTCTCCTTTGAACTTCGTGTTCTTCCCAACATTCCAAACACAGCTGTGAGGTGGATAAAGCAAGCAATGCTCACAGTGAGAGATTCTCCTGTGTGCCCAGCACGGGAGTTAGTAAGCAGTAGCTATTCCTGCCACGACCCACCACAGTGAGCCTCGTTGGAGGAGGAGGATCTCAGAACAACTCCCGCTAACAACCGTAATTGGCCAAATCATGTAAAGATGAGCAATTTACAAAATATGTTCGTGTCCACCATCTAGCTAACTTCTAAATATGCCACTCTACGGTGGAGGACTTCTTCTTCAACCTGTAAAGATGCAGCTTAGGGAACACTCTACAAATCACCCCCTGTTCTTGCCCAAGTTTGGCACCTAGCGGAGCAGACAACAGGAGCCAGTGAACTCAAGGGGTCAGCTTTATTGCTGATGAAGCCTGCTGGAGGCATGGCTCAGGGGTGCAATGAGCCTGTCAATATCCCCCCCCAGACCCACTCCCCACAGAAACGGGAGACACACTCCCGCAGCCCCTGGGGCAGCCCATCCAAGTTGAAGTTGAAGCCATGCTTGATGCACTGACCACGAATCCAGGGACGGAGGGGAGGCAACCCCCTCAGGCTTGCAGCTTTGTGGAAGGTGAGCTCCCACTAACTGAGAAGCATCCAGAGGCTGTAGTTCCCTCTTCCTCGTGGGGACAAGTGACCTTG